ATTATGCTCTGCCCCCTAGTAGGCATACATAAGATACTATACTAGACCCAAGGCAGTTAGTTGACCATATAAGTCAGTTTCATATCTTCTTTTTAAATAGTTTATGATTAGATATAGTAGTCCAAACCCAGAAGAGAAGAACCAAAATATATTTACAAAAAAACATAAACTCAGTGGAAAGGCATTCCTCCCAACTCTTCTAAGGCTGTTGCTCCAACAACTTTGTTCTCTCTTTCTTGTCTATTCAATGTCTTGCTCTTTAGGGAACCCCTCCTCCTCAGTACTTAAAAATGCTGACACCATCACCTCTTGGGATAAGAGTTTCATATTTGACTGTATGTTTAGCTCTGATCGTGTTTTTCTTTCACACTCTGCTTCTTGAAAGAGAAAGTGCATGCTTCACTCCTAACCCTGCTCTCTGGCCTCCACAGCCACCCATACTATGGAAACTGATATCTGTAAGGTCACCAATAGGATGCCAGCCAGTCCAAAGGACTCTGGTCTTCACCTTCCTGTCTTCCCTGCTTTTTCTGTTTCCTTATGGGTTCCCCATTCTGGGGATGGCAGTAATTCTGTTCTTGAGCTTCTTACACTTCTCCGTTGCTCCAGTGATCTCAAATGCCTACGGGTTTCACCTCTCACACTCTGTCCAGGTGCTTGGTGCTTAATCTTTTAGAAATTCAGTAAAGTAAAGTGTTTGAGAGCATGGAGTTTGGAGATATCCCTGGGTTTAAATTTCTGCTCTGGCACTTCCTGGCTATATTATTTTTCTGAGTCTCAATTCCCTCATCTGTAAAATAGAGAGATTGATAGTATTGACCTTTTTGGCCATCCCTTCCCATTCTCAAAAGCCTGACACAATATTGTTAGCCCAGAAGGAACACAGTGAAGGTGTAGGGTTGAACACCATAGTGATGTGCCTTGCATGTTGTCTAGCACATATTCTGAAAATGCTAGCTGCCATTATTATTACTGGGAACTTACATTTAGATGCCATTTTGATACCTGAACTCAATATATTTGAACCTGGACTTTACTTTTCTCCAAATCTGCATCCCTGTACTATAGTTCTATTTAGTGACTTCATAATCAATCCAGACACTAAACAGAAACCTAAGTAACATTTTTTTGTTCCTTCTTTTCTGTCTTCCATGCATGCATCCTATGTGTCTTAGACTAGTTTACTTAATCTTAATATCTCTTAAACCACTCCCTCTCTCTTTCCATGCCTATTGCTGCTTTTTTGGTCAGTCCTTCCACCCATTCATTAAACTGCTTCTAGACACAAACCACACTTTTTTTTTTTAACTCTCCACCTGACATCTTTTAAGTGCCCCTAGTTTCGTCTGGTTTTCAAGGCTCTCTGGACTGTCTCTGCCTATCTCTCCACCCTTCTCTTCTTCCTCCTTGTGTTTCTCCCTATCCTGCCTACCTCCAAATGTTATTTAAAGTCCATGCGTGCTCAGGCTTCAAATCAACTTACAGCTGACCTTCCTGTCCTTCTCTTCTTCTCATCTATCAACTGCATTTCTTCAAGTTCTCAAAGGTGTAGGAGTACAAAGCAGCAATATTTTTAAGATAAAAATTCACCAATATTAAAAAGTTTCTTGTTTTGTATTTTTTCACTTAAAATTTTTATTCATATCATAAGCAAATTTTTGAAAAATGTATAGCTCTTTCCTCCCAGAAAATTTGTAGGCAGGATAAGACAAGTCACAAGTTTTAATCATTGAGGTCCTATTATTGTCAGCTCATAGTAGAATAAATCTTATCTGAAAGAGTTCTCCCAGTCATAAGTTATAAAGGTAGACCTTTGTTTTGCTCCTATTCAATTTATTTTAGAATATGAAAGATGATAAGCTGTTATAAAACACAAATCAAATCAAAGTGGGAAATGAGAGAGGGAGGGAAGAGAAAAATAATTGCTAATATTGCTAGTTCTGTGTATAATTTAGCTTCCCTTAAATATTAAGTTATGTTTTATACTGATCATAAGTATATTCCTGAACACAGGGAGAACTATTTTCACTCTAAATTTATAACATTTTGGAAGCTTAATTATCATACTTGAAGGTCAAAAATGCTTTATTGCAATAAAATACAAAAAGTAATAAAGAAATTATTCCTGGGGAGATGAAAGTCTAGGTTCATAGCTCATTAAATACTAACTTCACAGACCATGTCTAATTTGTCATATTTAGCTTTGGAAATTTAATACATTTGAATTTCAAATTAGGTGAAGAGATACCTGAGGCAAAACTACCTAGGGCCTTTGAATTCCAGAATGATTTGGGAGATATAGTTCCTGTAACATAATAGGAAGAATTGCCTGTCATCATATATGTATACATATGTGCTTACCTGACCCAAAGACTTTTTTTTAAAAAAGTGATCAGTAATATTAACATGAAGCTCGTTACCTACTCCCACAATCATTTTTCCATTTCCTTTTTCTGTCCAGTATCCAGTGTATTGAAATCTCTGTCCTTTGCATTGAGTAATTTAGTCAGTTAGTTGGCTGAAATTTTTAGTACCAACTGTATTTTAGAACCACATAATTATTTAAAAGTTTGCTTCTACAATAAGTCAATTGAAAGAAACACTCATATATCTTAAGAGTAACCTTTGGGGAATTTAAATACAACCTGTTTTTTTCCCAGTGTGCCTATTCTAGGTTGCTGTGATTTCATGAAATTCTGGTGGGATCAACTTTTAAAAGATCATACAAAATTTTAATTTTTCTTTATATCCTACATTGTCCCGAGTGACTTGGTTTTCTTCCATTATTCTCCCATTTTAAAAGGTGTGACAGTAATTTCCTCATTGATACCCCATATAGATCTCTCCTAGTTCTAGTTCAGCACCATCCAATAGAAGTGTACTGTGAATCCATGTGTAATTCTAAATATTATAGTAGAATAAAAAAAAAACTGAAACAGGTGAAATTAATTTGGCTCTATTTTATTTAACACAAAATACAAAAAATATTAAACATTTCAATACAATATAGTCAATATAAAATTATTAATGAGATCTTTTACATTCTGTTTTATCCTAAGACTCTTGATCTTTTATGTGCATTTTATGCTTAGAGTGTATCTTAAGCATTGGAATACTTGGTCTGTTTTAAGACTTCATTAAATTTCCAGTTGAAAAAAAGTTTTCTAGTTGAGATTAGCTTCACATACCTACTTGTTTATTCCTACTTAAAGGTTTCCAATAGCTAGCTTGAGTATCAAAAAGCCATTTTCCTTTAATAATCACATCCACTTTGACAAAATTCATTCATTTTTAGAAGAACTGATCTAATTTTGATGTCAAAGTATATATATATTTCAAATCTATATCTGTTCATTTAATTTTGTACCAACATAGTGTTAACATGTAATTCACCAGAGTGTTGCATAAATTGAAAATCAACTCCCTAAATTATTAATAGCAATGAGAAATTCTACAAAATTTTCTTGTAGTTTTTTGCAGGCAAATTAGGTAACACTAAAACTTACAGTTGAAATCTTCTACACATTGATTCATGTTAGGAAAATGCATAAAAACTTTATAAACTTGTATTTTAGAAGTTTCAATTTCAGCACTGATTCTTTTACTTTTCCAGCTAGTTTGCAAATAAACCCTTGCTTATCTAGAGGCTTGCAATTTAGCTTGTTCATATGCAGTGTGCTGTTGGTGAGAGAATATACATCATTGTGCCATGTTTTAGTTTGATTATTGAATAATTGGCAAGTATTTCTTTTAGTTCAAGAAAATCTTCAATTAGAGTCATCAGTTCAGTGAATCAGTGAATTTCTCCTACAACTTAACCAATAAGGCGTTGGTGAAAACATAAGGTCTTTAAATTTATTGTCCTTCATTTTTTTTCAAGAGTTCCATAAGTGCATTTATTCAGACTGTTTGCATATAAATGCTAAAAGGATTTAATTATCTCTATGATACTTTCTAAAGAATCTGCTTCAAAAAAGTTAGCACAAGTATTTTCAATATGCGTAATATGTTAATGTGAAGTAGGAAGACACACATTAGTCTTTTGTTTTAAAATACTGTTAAGTCTGGATTTTTAATCTAACATAACTGAGGTACTGTCAAGGTGACAAGAAGCTAATTTTTTGAAATCTAAAACTATTCGATATATATAAAATATATTTTAAAGTATCTTTGTCATAAATTCTAATTTTTAGATGGTGACTTGACATTTCTTCACCGATTTGGAAATCCTTTGAGAAGAAAACATAAGCAAAGTATTGGTTGGGCAGTGTCTCTTGACTCCATACTCTTCCAGTGTGTCCTTTGAGTCACCCTTCACTCATAGATGTTTGGGGATCATCATGATTTCATGGTCAAGTCCAAAGTCCTTAGCACTCAATTCCATTATCTTATTCTCCCAGTATTTATAATGTCACCTTTTGTACTTTTTACTCTGCAGCTTTCATCCAGTTATACTAAACTTGTGGTTTATCAACAAGGCCATTCTCCCTCGTCCCTTGTCTCTGCTTATCTTCCTTCTACTACCTTTCAAAACTCAGCAGAGAAACTGTCTTCTCTGGAAACCTCTTTTGACCCTAGTTAGCCTGGATTTGACATCCCTCCCTTGTCCCCCCACCCCCTCCTCCTCATTGTGGCACCCTCTAAACACTATCATAACACTCATTCTACTCTACTACATTTGTCCCCATCAGACAGTGAGCTCTTTGAGGGCTATGATGGTGCTTTTTGTTTCCATTTCCTTAATTCATAGCACAGTGCCTGGCATGTAATAGGTGTTTAGGAAGGGTTTCTATTCTTTATTCAGGAGGAATCCATCACTTTTAAATATAATAACTAAGCAGTTGACTCTCTTGTTTTAGGATGGTTATTAGCTTCTTTTCCTAATTCCTTAAAAGTCTCTAGCCATTTAATCTGTTTAATATGACCTAAGTTTTTATAACAGCATTTGCAATTGTTTATTACTGCTAATCAGTCATTTATCTTTTCCTCTCTTGGTCCAGCTCCCACAGAGGCCACTACACGCCCACATCTAGGTAAGTATTTTAAGACCATGATGTCTTTAGTCTTAGTATTTGATCTGTTTTCTTCACTTTTCTGGCTATGTGCTCAGCCCTCCTTGATTTGCTGATTAGACTCACTGAAATTAGACTGAGGTCCAGACTGCACTTGAACACAGAACCTTCCCTGAGGAAGAGATCCTTCTGCCCAGCTGGTGTCTAGACAGGGACTTTCACACCTGTCTAGCTCTCAGGATACTATTCAGTGTCACCTTCTGGCTGAGTGTCTGAATGATGAATTTTCCCCAGAGCTTCTACCCATCATTAAGTACTAGAGCATAGTGGCAATAAGGAGCCATGCATGCGGAGGAGCTGAGGGCATTTCAGATTTGAGAATTCTGCTCAAATTGATGGGCTAAAAAGAGAAATTTATTGAATGAGGAAAACTGGAAAAAAAATAAGGAAAAAGAAATTTCCTCAAACACTGAAAGGAGGCTGTTTAAGTAACAATCTGCTTTTTGAAATGTACCAGGCTTTTTTCAGCATCAGGTACTTGGTGGTCCACAGTTTTTCAGGCAAAATTGTGCAGTGGTTAAGAATATGAATTATGGAGCCAAAGTGCCTGAGTTTATCTTGCCTTTGTCTTACCACTTGCTTGACTTACTGTGCCTCTGTTTCCCCATATGTTAAATGGAACTGATAATAACACCTACCTTACAGGGTTAAATATGAGTGTTAAGTGAAATTGTAAAGTATACAGTAAATGATATGGTTGTATTTAGAAATAAATAAATACAAGAGCAAATACATATTGAGGCTAACCATTGCCTTTATTTTTAAAAAAAGTCTCTATAAAGCAAGTGCTCATTAAGAGTTAAATTTCTTATTTGTGTCAATGAAGACTTATTTTAAAATGAAAAGAAATTATCCTAGCTGGTTCCAGCCTTTTCAGATGTCTCTCACTGTGGGACTTCCAGTTAGGTCAGTTACTTGTCTCATGGGCTATTCCTTTCAACCTACAAACCCAATTAATTTTTCTCTTTGGAAAATCTGCCTTGAGAAACTCTACTTTTATGTAATGCTACAGCTCGGGGCTCCTCTTCCTTGGCAGGTGAACGTAAGCACGAAGCATGCCTTCTGGCAACCAAGACAGGCTGGTGACCCTCAGTGGTTCAGCCAAGGCTCGGTCAGGTTGGGAACTGAGAGAGCTGTACCCTGTAGGCATTTCAGGCACTGCATCTGATGGCTCAGAGGAATCATTAAATCACCCCCATGCACAGAGTACATGACAGCATTCTCTCCAGTGTGCGCCCATGCTCTCCCTGTTCTCATGTCGAAGGCTTGGAGTCTGAGCAGCCGGGACTCTGAGTACATGCTGATTCATTGGTTTCCATGACTTCATTACGTGTTTGCCTGCTGGCATACCTGGTGTAAAAGGGTGAGGACTGCCATAGGTGGAGATGTCACCAAAGAGAATTTGAAAGTATGCATCTTGATACTTGGAGGAGATTTTAATTACCCAGTGAGTACAGAGAAATAGAATCAAATGAGCGCTCCAAAAACATAAAATATCACCTTTGAAAAAAGTAAAAATGATTGTTATTTTTATTGTTGTTCATCAGTGATGTGCTTTTAATTTTCCCAGCAGGTATCTGTGAAGTAGTTCAAACAAAATTATAAAGAAAAATCCCAGAGAATTTATATTAGCCAAAACAAACTTCCAAAGAAACCCTGGGAATCAAACAAGAAGGTTTTTAAAGTACTAGTTAACTTTTTACAATTTGAGCACACTTACATTTTAGATGGCCATGGAATTGTTCTCCTTTGTCCACCCTCTTTTCAGTAGAAATAGGCACTGTACAGTGTATGAAAACATACATTTTTTTTTCATCTTGGCATGCTCAGTTCTTCTAAAACTTAAAAATAGGTACTTGACACAATCTCAAGGGTAGTAATAATACGTTGAAAACCATGGATGGTTCCTCTGGCATTCTTCCAAATTTTTTAATTGATTCTACTTTGGAATTTTACATATTCATATAGATAATTTCTCCCCTGCAGTTCTGAGGGGAAACAAAGTTAACAATTTGAACCATACTAGATAAAAATCAGTGAACATAGGGAATAAGAAAGCAATCCTAGCCAAGAGGGATGGCAGGAAAAAGAAGAGAAAATGGATCAAGAAATAGCCAGCAACTTTGGCTGACAGTAAATAGCCAGACTATTCCATTCCCTTTATGCTTTGAAGTGAGAAAGAGACTGAATCTGCCGGGGTAAGTCTCTTGGGAGACATGGGAGAGTATGTTATGATGAGAGACAAGTTCTGTGTGGCCTCTCTTATGGGACAGTGTTTACCTTGGCCCTCCTGCCTCACCCACCTTATGATAATTTGGTAGATTTCTCTTTAGGGTTTCTGAATTTCAGACTTCAGTGTCTAAACTGCAATGTCTTTAACCTTGTCCCATCATATATTTAGGGACAAAACAAACACAATTAACTGCTTATTTAAAATTTAAGTTCTAATTTAAAATATTATTATTCATTAATGCAGCGTGTCGACACTTTTGTTTAGCTAAATTTACTACTGTAACAAAATTCTTTACTACTCTTTTCTTTTAGCTGAAATACACAGTGACAGTATTATCCTAAGAGATGACTTTGACTCCTACCTCCAACCAGAATTAAATCCAAATATATGGTAAGTTACAGGAATGTGCTTCACTTTGGTTTGTTTAATGCAAAAAATGATGCTGACTGCTCCCTTAAGGAACAGTTACTTAAAATTACATTGCTCTTTGTGCTAAGGTTTCAGTGAGAATTGTTAAACTGTGGAAAGGGCTTCACGTAGACTGCACATAATGCCTGAATCTCCAGACTTCTTTAAGAACTCAATCTAGATGTTCCTCAAAGCTGTGGGTGTGGTTAGATATTTCTTTCAGTTTTACTAGGTATTTACACAGAAAATATCGTACTATAATGTGTCTAATAATTACTTTGATGCCAAATGAAAGAAGGAAAATGTTTTGTCTTATATGACAAATGATTTGAGTCATGCTTCCAAATAATTTCTAATTTAGTGGGTCACTTCATTATTTGTACTCTATTCTTTCCTTAGAAGGTTAAGTACAAACTCCATGCAATTTTTGAGAGCAAATGATGAACTCAAGCTTATTCTTTTAAAAATTACTGTATATGTGAATTGATACCTGAATTTGTTGGCAATTCATTGTATTTTTGCTGACCTGGAGAGAATAGATCTGCCAGTCTAGAGCTGTAACTAGTTCATTTAATTTGGATATCTGAACTTAGATTTTCTATGATATAATGTACTGTTGGATGGACAGCAAAGAATTCAAGAAATTGTCATGTAAACTTTCTCTTTTTTTAATTCATTTATTCACATGTGCATACATTGTTTGGGCCATTTTTCCCCCCTACCTCCAGCGCCACCCCTGTCCCCCCCATGCCCCCTCGCTTCAGGCAGAATCTGTTCTACCCTTATCTCTAATTTTGTTGAAGAGAAAGTATAAGCAATAATAAGAAAGACAAAGCGTTTTTGCTTATTGAGATAAGGATAGCTATACAGAGAGAATCCTAGCATTGCTTCCATGAATAAATGTGTTACATCCCAAGTTGATTCATCTCTAACTGACCTTTTCACTAGTTCCTGATCCCCTTCTCATATTGACCTCTGTCACTTTAAGGTTTCTGTATTAGTTCCTCTGCAGTGGGGACATCAAATACTATCATGTTTTGGGTTCCTTACCTATCCCCATACCTCCCATATGTGCTCTCCCCTTGTCATGTGACCCAAGTTCAACCACATTACTGTATTTGCCCTAGATCTAAAGTCCTCATATGAGGGAGAACATACAATTTTTGGTCTTCTGAACCTGGTTAACCTCGCTCAGAATGATGCTCTCCAGTTCCATCCATTTACTTGCGAATAAGATTTCATTCTTCTTTGAGGCTGAGTAAAATTCCATTGTGTATAAATACCATATTTTCTTAATCCATTCATCAGTGGTGGGGCATCTTGGCTGTTTCCATAACTTGGCTATTGTGACTAGTGCTGCAATAAACATGGGTGTGCAGGTGCCTCTGGAATAACCTGTGTCGCATTCCTTTGGGTATATCCCTAGGAGTGGTATTGCTGGATCATATGACAGATCTATGTTTAGATTTTTAAGAAGTCTCCAAATTTTTTTTCCAGAGTGATTGCACTAGTTTACATTCCCATCAGCAGTGTACGAGGGTTCCTTTCTCCCCACATCCTTATCAACACCTGTTGTTAGTGGTGTTTTTAATGATGGCTATTCTAACAGGGGTGAGGTAGAATCTTACTGTGGTTTTGATTTGCATTTCCTTTATGACAAGAGATGGTGAGCATTTTTTCATGTGTTTTTTGGCCATTTGAATTTTTTCTTTTGAGAAAGTTCTGTTTAGTTCAGTTGCCCATTTCATTATTGGTTCATTGATTTTGGGAGAGTTTAGTTTTTTGAGTTGCCTGTATATTCTGATGTATAACTGGAAAATATTGTCTTCTGCTCTGTGGGTGGTCTCTTCAGTTTAGAGACCATTTCTTTTGTTGTGCAAAAGCTTTTTATAAATTTTCAAATTGCAATGAAAATCCAAGCAATACTCAAGACTAGAAAGAAAATAACCATTTCACTGAATATTAGCATATGATAATCATTCCTGATTTTATTTTTATTATTTTAAACAAATATTTAGCAGTAATTATTTAAATAGAAAACTTAAAAGGGATACAGTTCTCTCAACTAGATAATAATTTAGTCAAGAACTTAGAAACACATCTTTAGAGAGATTGTAACCTAGGATTGAAATCTTTGAATGTGAGGAAAGATGACTATGGGTGAGAGTTTCCTGAGAGTTGAAGATGGCACATATAGAGAGAGTGGTGGGGCTTCAATACTAGGCAAGGAACATTTTTTTTTTTTTAGGGAGAGCAGCTGTACTGGGGGTTGAATGCAAGGTCTTACACTTGCTAGTCATTTGCTCTACCTTGAGCCATGCACCACTGCCCTTGTTTCTTTACTTATTTTTTGGGTAAGGTCTTGTGTCTTTGCATAGGCCCAGCTTCCGGATGTGATCCCTCTACCCATGCTTCCCTTGTAGCTGGGACCACAGCACTGCCACACCAGGCTTGTTGTGCTGAAATGGGGGTTTTGCTAACTTTTTGCCTGAGGTTCGCCTTGAACTGCAGTCCTTTATGATCTCTGTTTCTGAGTAGCTGGGATTATAGGCATAAACCACTGTGCCTGGCCCCACAGGACCTTTTATGTCTTCACTAGAGAAAAATATAGGTCTAGATAGTGTAAATATAGATTGAAATATTATTAGACTAGATAGTAATAAAGTCTCATAATTTATATGGCACCTAAGAAGACAATATATAACAGAACTACTTCTATTATTATTATTATTATTATTATTATTATGCTGGGTGGGGGTACATTGGAGTATTTACAAAGGTTCTTATAATTATCAAATATATCATACTTGAATTCACTGCCTCTGCTATTCTCTTTCATCCCCCCTCTCCCCTGACTCCTGGAACAGTTTCAGCAGGTATCATTTTTGTATTTACATACATGTGTTTCCATTATTTGCACCATATTCATCCTCCTACCCCTTTCCCCGCCACCCCCCCCAAACTTGTTCTTTCCTCCTGTTCTCTGATTTTGTAGAATAAAAAACATAAAAGATAACAAGAAAAACATGACATTTTTTCTAGTTTGAGATAAAGATAGCTACACAGGGAGATTGTGTTATTTCCATACATATATATATTACAACCCCAGTTGGTTCATCTCTACCAGACCTGTTAACTAATCCCTAGTCCCCTTCGCATAGTGGCCTCTGCCAGTTTAAGATACTATATTCACTCCTACACAGTGAGCACATCAACCACATTCAAGGTTTTGGTTTCCTTCCCTTGTCCTATCCCTCCCATGCACGGCCTCCCCTTAGTATGACCCATGTACAATAATATTACTGCATTTGTTTCAGGTCTATAATCCACAGATGAGGGAGAACATGCAATTTTTGTCTTTCTGAGCCTGACTAACTTCACTTAAGATGATGTTCTTCAGTTCCATCCATTTACCTGTGAATGACAAAATTTCATTCTTCTTTGTGGCTGAGTAAAATTCCATTGTGTATAAATACCACATTTCTTTTGTATGTGTGTGTGTGTATGTTCCAATCAAACTTTATTTACAGAAACAGGTGCCTGGCTGATCCATGCTCTAGAGTCTTATGCTTCTTTTTTTAAAATTATTCATTTATTCATTTGTGCATACATTATTTGGGCCATTTCTCCCCCCTGCCCCTCATCCCCGCCCTCTCCCCAAACCCCCTTGCTTCCAGACAGAACCTGTTCTGCCCTCTTCTCCAATTTTGTTGAAAAGAAGACATAAGCAATAATAAGAAAGACATAGCATTTTTGCTAGTTGAGATAAGGATAGCTATACAGAGAGATTCCTAGCATTGCTTCCATGCACAAGTGTATTACATCCCGAATTGATTTATCTCTACTTCCCGGTCACCTTCCCATATTGACTTCTGTCATTTTAAGGTTACTGTATTAGCTCCTCTGCAGTGGGGACATCAAATACTTTCAAGTTTTGGGTTTCCTACCTTTCCCTATTCCTCCTGTATGTGTCCTCCCCTTAGCATGTGACCCAAGTCTAAAAATATTACTGCATTTGTTTTAGATCTAAAGTCCACATATGAGGAAGAACATATATTTTCTTAATCCATTCATCAGTAGTGGGGCATCTTGGCTGTTTCCATAGCTTGGCTGTTGTGAATAGTGCTGCAGTAAACATGGGTGTGCGTGTGCCTTTGTAGTAATCTGACTGACAAGAACACTACTTCTTTATGAATATCCTAAACGTGAATTTCTTGAAATAAACTGAAATCTTTATTAATAAAAAGCAAAAAAGATTAAAACTTTCTAAGTACCACTTTTACCCAGGACAAATTCTTTACTTGTCTTCACATGTAGATTCTTTGTATTCCATTAATGTAGGTGTTATCAACTGATTTGTTTCTTTTAAAGCAAAATCATTTCTTTCATGTTATGAGTTCTCAGTCTTCAGTGAGTTTTCTTGACAAATACAAAATGTGACTTTTATGTAGTTCATATTCTGTTGTTTCTTAGATCAATAAATGTGATTGATTTTGCCTCATCCATTTTCATGACTGATCTAATATGTACTTTCCTGGACAAAATTATGGATTTTATGTCCCTTTTAATTAAGCTATGTTTTCTTTTTCTGTGTTAAAAAATATTTTTAACCTTAAAAAATCAATTTCTTCGTGCTTCTGTCTTCTATCAAATATGTTTCAGAGTGATTTTACTTTATCCCTTGTTGCCCACAATCTCCTTCACTTAGCCTCTTTAAGATTTTTTTTTAAAATCATGACACTCTCATTTGAGAGATGACTGTTGAGTGGGATTGTTTTAATGTTGGATGAGTGTGAAAAGGTCTGGTCCCATGCCTGGGGGAACATAAGTCCTCTATATAAGCTAATTCTTTTACTTCCTCTCTCTTCCCTTCTTTCCCAACTCTCTCCTTCTGTCTCTTTTTTGTACTTCTCTTCCCCCCACTCTCTTTCTTTCCTCTCTTTCTCTGCCTATCCTTCTTTCCCCCTTCCTTTCCACTTCCC